TGAGGGAAAGTGTCATTTTTAGGATTTTCCGGAGGCCTGAATCCTCCTGAAACATTTCCCCTTGTTTCTTTTAGTGTTAGCTTTGGAGCTGGCAGAATGCCATGAGGCTCCTCATAAGTTGGTGTTTTCTCATGTATTGCAGAAATAAAGAAACCTCTTGTGAAAGCACCGTAATCTGTTGCACATTGCTGGTAAAGCAGAGCCTAGCAGTGGGCAGAATTGCCCATCCTGCCAATATTAACCATACTGTTCAATCTCGCAATAGCCTTTGGCCCACAGGGCCATAACAGTAGTGAAATGAGTAACGGAAAGTTCTGAGATTTCAGCTGTGGGTGGAAAGACATTGTCTGGACACCAGTTCTGGTACCTGAACCTTATTGATGCTCAGTCATCTGATCTACTGGAATAGTCAACCTTTTCTGTGGCACTATCAGGGTTTTTAAATATGTGAAGCTATAAATATAATGTTCAAGAAACAAGATGCAATTCCAGAAGAACATTGCTGTAGTTCAAAATTCAAACCAGGCAAAAATTGTATTGTTAGCTGATGTGAAAAATGGCTGATAACAATGTGAAAAGTAAAGTTTAGGTTCCTCTAGAAGCCCAAAACCTGATCAAGCATACTTGGACCTTTTCCTGCTAAATATACGCCCCAAAGACTCCACTGCTACTTTTTAGAGCCGGTTGCAGTTGGTTGTTTAGACTTCTAACTCCAAGAGGGCTCAGCAGCATGGCCAATGGTCAGAGGCCTGGATGAAATCCGGCTAGGGAAGAACATTCTAGTGGGTCTTCACCAGTATTTCCAAGATAAAGGAAATCATGCCAGAGCAAGTCATGTGAAGTTGCCAATGTTATGATAAGGACAGTGATGCCATAAAATATCCAATAGCCAAGCAGCTTTACTGTGTTTGTGCATTTGGGGTTTTTCTCCTCTCCTGTTCCTAGGTGTGTGGGTTTTGTTTTTCCTTAGCCTCTAACTCCAAGTTTGTTGGAGTACATGAAACTTCTTGAATATAACACTCTTCGGCATTACAGCTATTGAGTTTCCAGGAATGTTGACTACTATGTATAGGCTTTTAATTTTATTTGTTAGATTTTGTATCCCTTCTTTTTCTTTTTTTAAAGAACCCAAAGCAGCTTACACCGTTCTCCTCCTCTTTCTCTCAATCTTATCCCAACAACAACCACCCTGTGAGGTAGGTTGGGCCGAGGGTGTGTGGCTGGCCCTAAGTCACCCAGTTGGCTCCAGGACTGAGTGGGGACTAGAACTCAGAGTGCCTGAGCCTCAGTGCAACACTCTAACCACTACACCACACCGGCTCTCGGCACCACATTGAGTGCAGTGTTATTGCAGTGGTCCTAAGAGGCTTATGCTCATCTGATGCAGAGCAGGAGGAGCCGCCAAGGTGATGCCTTGTCTGTGCCCTGCATTTTCACTTTTGTCTGTCTATTGGTGTTTTGGAGGGGCAGAGAAGGAGACTAGAGAGGCCCCTCCAGTCTCTCCCCCTTCCAACCCACCATTATGCCTGCTGCTTTTCCCCTCGGAGGCTGCATTCCCAGCTTTGCAGAGACTGCAAGGGGAGGTGGTACAGATCGCAGACTCCCCCTTCTCAGGTCAGACCACTATATCTTGGAAGCCAAAGCATTCTGTGCCCCTTCAGACATTGTCTAGGGGTCGTAGTGTTGCTCCCTCCATGTCACGGAATGTGACTCTGGGCAACAAAGAGCAAACACGACGCAATTGCACAAGTTTGTTGCAGCAGTGCAACGTAGGGTGAGAGTTACGACTGCAAACTACTGCACAGCCTTGCCCACTCAACCGCCTGGGAAAATTCCTGTGGACACCCATATGGTCCATCCAGCGCATTTAAGGAATGACATCTCTGCACTTGAATAACCCTCTTCACAATACTGCCACCAAGGGAATATGATTGGCTGGAAACTGCAAGGAGAATTTCTACTTTAGTATTGTGCTGGGGACCAGACTCTTTCTCCTGTATGTCTTTGAACTTAAGTCCTGTACCTGCATAGTGTATCAAACATTGATGTCTTCAGAGTGTGGAAGGCATTGAAAAAGAGTTGAGGTTCTTGGGAGGAGAACATCCCAAATCCACTAAATGACTGAAAAGATTTAAAATCCAACTTCTTGGGATGTCGATTTGAATAACCAGCTTTCGTGGATTCTACAGCTTGAAGCTACAGCAGATGGAAATATGCATTTCCATTGTACTGGATTAGCTAAACCATGCCCACCGAGAGTCAGTGGATGAATAATAAGTTGGTAGATTAGACTGCAAGAAGCTTGGTTTAAATTCCTGTTCAGTTGTGAAATTTCTTGTGTGGCCTTGAGCAAGTTGCTGTAGCACAGTGGATCAGGAACTGAGCTGAGAGTCAAACGAAGCAGCACCTTCATATGTAGCATGAAGTCCCATCTGTACTTTTCCTTTACTCAGAACTAAGTGTAGGGACCCAGTCTGGTTGAGACCCCAGCACAGGGGTAGGGAGTGGCTTTAATCCTTTGCCCCTTACTGATTTGGAAGTCTACTCCTTAAAAGTCCTACCCCTACAGTTAGAGGCAATCCTACCTCTGCTACTTGTGGGCTTTGTGGAGGTAGCTGGCTGGCCATGGAGGGAACCAAATGCTGGTTCAGACAGGTCTTTGCTCTGATCCAGCAGGGCTCTTTCAATGTTTTTAATTTTCTAGGTGGTGCCAGGAAAGCTACTATATCTAAGCATCAGCTCCCCGCTGCTTCTCCTCTTGCACAAACATGGAGATGATAATACAGTACTGGCCCACCATACTAGGTGTCACAAGAACTTCTGTATCCACCTGGCCTACCTCAAAGGGTTGTTGGGAAGATAAGCTAGGAATATCTCATGCGTCCTAGAAGGAAGAAATGAGACAAATTGATCCAGCCATGGTGGAATTTAGTGCACAAGAGTAACGGGGTATTCTGCCTATCTCATCTATTTTAAAAGAACAGGAGTGTGTCCTCATCTCCGAGGATGTGTGTTGCTTTTTATGGGTCAGTGCAGCAGCTCCGCTTCATGTGAAATAAATGACTGCTCTCCCACCGCACTGTCAAAGTATCCACATCTTCCCCTGTGCTTATTGTGTGGTACGCTGGGGCGGGGGGGCACTCCTCCAAGACTTCTTGAATGCTTCCCAAATTGACTGGGTTCGTTGAGGGCGGGGGTTCGTATTTCTGGACCCTGGCGCACCATTGGTCTGAGGAAGCCTCCATGCCCTTAAAGAGAGTGTGAGGTTTTTGCTGAGCTGTTTAAGAAACACATTTATACCTCCTCGGTGAGCCAGCTGCCTGTGGCTTGCCAGTCGACCCTGTCCTCTCACCAGCGCTGTCTGTTTTTCTCCTTGGGACTTAGGTGAGCCCCTTTGCATGTGATATTGCCCCCCCCCCCCACTTGGCTGTTTATGAGAGTAAAAGGAAGGCAGGGCAACGCTGCAGTTCCTAGATGAAGGATGCTTATCCAGAGGAAAGGATCTTTGCTTCGCTGTTAACAATAATATAAAAACTAGCAATTGTATTATTATGTAAAATAACTTGTTATTATTTGAGTATTTAAGAATAATGATGATAATGTCCTCCCAGGACCCATCAGTCTTTTCTCCTTTTAGTTTGTCTGTCATAACGATTCTTCGGACAAAGTCCCCTTCCTATTTCTTACGGGTCCCACTCTAGAGAAATGGTGTTGATTTTCCTGCTTCAGGAACTGAAATGCTCATAGTTGCTCTTCTCAGATTTAATTGCCATACGCTTTGGGGAGAGCCTGAAGAGTTGGATGGTGTAAATTTGCAAAGCCTAACCTGAGCTGAGAGCTCAACCAATTTCCGTGGCCTGTTGATTCGTAAAATGTCCTCAGTAGAGGTTTTGCCAGCAGCCTAGCAAAAAGCAGCAGATTTGCTCTATGTGAAAGCAGCTCTTTCAACACTTAATAAACTGGTGCTTTGTTCAAGTGCCCTTTGGGGCTGTACGAAGCAAAAACGAAAACTGCACTTGTTAACAGACAGAAAGGAAGGTGTAATTAATACTCGACTTCTTGGCTTTCCTTGCACTTGCTGGCAAGAAGGAGGCTAAAACAGGGAGGAAGTGTTTTATTTCGGCACATCTGAGTGGCCCGGCTCGCACAAATGGTGCGATGACATTTCTTGCCATCGCTTTTGCCACCTGTGGCTGCCACAATGACCTTCCTTGCGATCCTCCCAAGTCAGGAGGACCTGAAAAGGCTGTGGCCCAAGGAGACAGCTGCTGCTCCTTACAAGCCATTTTTAGAAGCACTTTCTTCTGGGTTATGTGATAGGGCCTACACATTTTTCGGGATAAGGTTTCTTTTGGGAGATCAGCCATTGCCCTCTGGATGTCCTCTTGAGCCGTTTTTAACCCCTCATTATCCTATGCAGGGCCTAATGAACTTCAGTGTTCTGAGGCTGGCTAAGAGAAGTCCATTTGTATGTTCACTAGCTGAGAGGAAGTGTCACATGCATTTGTGCACAGACATGCATGCACACATGCAGATGCGTGCATAGAAGATCAATATAGTGCATTCCTGAGAAGCTGCTGAAAAGAGAGCAGTTCTAGCAAACTCACCAACCAGAATGCCAGTCAGTATGGAGGAAGATACCCCTTATCATAAAACTGAAGCTGTTGACTAAATTAACAAAGCATGCTTTGTTCACTGTGATGGACTGCTGTCAGAAGTGCATGCAGGTGTCCAGAGCAGACTTTGTTTCTGTAAGTATTAAAAGAGGGAAGTTATCTGAAAGAAAACTCAAGTTTCTTTTCTCGAGTTGTGATTGAGGGCGTATTTGGCAACTTTCCGTGACTGTGGTTACTACTTCCCCATTCAACAGGAGCAGGGCAGTTGGGCAAGAAGTACAAGCCAGTTTCTATTTTCTGATTAACGTGGTGCCTAACTTTAATGCATGTAAACAATTCACGTGTATTAAATAAATATACATATCTCCCTTTGTTTTATTGCAGGGGCTTATCCATAAACCGAGATGTCTTCTGAGTAAGTTACTGTTGTGCTTTTCTCTTTTTAAACCAATGCAAAGTTTCCCTTCCATTTATCACTTGAAGAACAATTTCCTTCACCCCCGTCCACCTGGGGGTAGCACATGGATGTGGAGCTGTCTGCACAAATGACCCTGTATGTCTAAAGCTTCCTTGCCCCATCCAGGCCTCATACATGGCACTCATTCCACCCCCACCCCCCACAAAATAAGGGTTACAAGGCATAGTCAGAGTCTGCCCCCCGTTCCCTGCCAAACAGCAAATAAGTGGGATTTGAACCCTTTTGAAATAATTTACCTGTGCAGGGGGAACAGCTCCGTGCTCACTTCTTTTGGATCTTTTGCTTTATATCCTCGGTAATATTCTCACTTTCTTTCCTGCTTTCTTCTTGTGCCTGTCTCCACCTCACCAACCAGAGAAGAAGTAAGTTTTTTCCCTGACTTTTTTGGGTGGGGAGGGATGGACTCCTGGGTAGAATGTTGGATTGAAATATCACTGAAATGGTAATTCTATCAGTCTGGGTTTTCTGTTGCTTTCTTGGAGAAGATTACATAGGGCACAGAGGGTGACTAATTTTACCTCATCACTTTTTCTGTAGAAGCCCAAATCATAGTTTTCTATTCCATTCTCCCAGCCAGTGGTGCAGCTGGGACATTTTAAACTCTGGACTTCAGTGGCTTTATTGCTCACACACTAACCCTGTACATGGTATTATGGATTACCGCACTTATTTCAAAATTTGAAGCGGGGGGGGGGGGCAATTTGCTGCATTTGGGGGCCCTCAACCTTGCCCTGAGAGCACCAGTGCAGTCAACATTCCTTTACATTCTCAAGCAACCAGTAACCGGAAGGCAGACTGGAGCTATGCAGATTGAGAGGCTGTTCTGCACAGGAATGGGTCTCGTTCGTGATGCACGGGGCCACAAGGGCTGGTGCAGCCTTTTGGGCGTGCCCATTTGGTCATACTGGGAAAAGTTCTGAGCTGCAGCATTTGGAGACACTGGGCGGTATCTGGTGCTGCCCACACATCTCCACTTGTTCTGTTGACCCTGTGGGATTAACTGCTGGCAGAATAGAAAGCTGGCACTTCCTAAAACAGCCCCAGAAAGAAGCTCAAACACTTGTTTTTGGAACAGGAAAGTCAGCAGAACTCCCTTCCGGAAGCTCTGCTGACCTGCCCCATTCCAAAATGGAGAGTTTTGCCTGCTTTCTGGCTGCTTTAGGGACTGCCAGCTCCCTGTGGCATTAGTGGTGCATCCCACTGGCATGTGGATAGTGTTTGCATATTGCCCACTGACCCAGTACAGGGAAAACCTCAGCCCCATTTCTGAAACTGGGTTGCCAGGGCCTCCCTATCTAGGGCCCTTCAAGGGTTGAATGCAGAGCTCGCTCCATGCAGAGCTCACGAATGTATTGCATGAGTCACATGTTTTGCAATGTGCAAGCTGCCCCTCCAAGCATATCATCTACCATGATAATAGGTGTTTTACTAGTGGGAGAACAAGAGACTACTCAGGCAAGAGAACTTTACTTCAGGGGCTCTTTCTTTCCTGATTGTTACTACAGTAATGAGGAAGTATGGACATGCATTTGCTAAGATGACCTAATAAATGGCATTAGCAGCCTTTTTGGGTAGTCATAGCTTACTAACCTCATATGATGTTCTAGGAACAGAAGGGTCATCACTGCTTCCTCGGGTTGCCGATAAGTTAGTCTACAAGGGACAGAGAAGGCAGAGACCTCAGCAACAGAAACTAGTACCATTAGTCTTTTCATGAGGCCTAGTTCATTGATAAGGACATTTTGTCCCTCCACAGACTGTTGCCAAAGCAAGGAACAGACCATTCGTTACTATTTGCAGAATGGCCTAGAGCTAGCTGAATATGTCTTTCCTCAGGCCTAGCTGGGCTTTGTCTTGCCCTCTCTGAAGCTTATGGTATGGCAAGGAGGCAATGATGTCACTGATCTTTCCTGCATGGATGCCTCTGCTTATGAGAGGTGCTGCAAAGGCCTCTAGGATGGTGCATGGTCAGCAATGTCATGGATCCCTTACCATGTCAGAGGCCTCAAGGCATGCAAGATGCAGATCCTGTACCCATGAGAGGTCTTGCACACCATCTCCAGAAACTAACCTGATTCAGAATGTAATGACTTGGCCTATCTCTGTGATATATTCTGGGTTCCAATGAATTCAAAGTCTTCTCTGTTCCTGTGTATGGCAATGTGGGTCTTATAGGTTGAAGGGAGCAGCTACTATCCACTGGAAACTCCTTTATATATTAGTTTATTTTCCACCCCACCTTTTCCTCCAAGAGAAATGGCAAGCTGAATTCAGAGCAATTTAAAACCACAGAAGGCATCCCCTTACAACCATTAATCAAAACAAATACCCTTGTACAAGAGAGTGTTCATACATCAAGGCTTACAGTACTAGCAATGTTGCTACCCTCTCAAAGGCTATAGGGTATAGTGTTTTTACCAGCCTCCTAAGATCCAGGAGAAAAGGCCTTGGTATGCCTCCTTGGACAGAGAATTTCATAGTGAAGGGCAAACTACCAAAAAGTCTCTGCTTTTTTGCAATCACTTTGCAGACCTTCCAAGTCCAGCAAAATCAAAACTGGCCCCTAGTCAGATAGCGAAACATACAAGGAGTGCAGTATCTGCTCCTTTCCTCACCATTGGTTCTTCTGATATAATTTGCTTCTTTTCTAACCACTTGGAGGCAAAATTCCCCCTTCTTTTGTTTACACTCCATTTGTACTGAGCTAGATTTTTCCACAGGGATGAATTGCACAGCCCAGTTGTTAAACAGTGTGTTTTTGGAAGACCTGTTTCATAGCATGCATAGGAACACTAATGATAAAGTTGACTAAAGTTGACTGCAGTGGAGCCAAGTTTTCCATTGCTTTTAGAAGACACTTTTAAAGGCCAAATTCTGGTCTATGGCTGCCCTCACACTGTGGTGACCTTATCGGATTTCTTAAACATTCATGACTTGGATGAGAGGCCCTCAAATGAAAGTACAGCAAACAGCACATGAAGTTATTCAAAACATGAATACCTATTCCCTTCGCACCAAAGCATCGGAGACAGAACGCACTGTTGTTCCGGGGGGCCACTGTGCAGGAGCCTGATTGAAGGACAAATTTGGACGTCTGTATTTTGTAATTAGGCCAAGAGTTCTGAAAATTGCCTCCTGATGGGTGGGGGAGGGGAAATCCCATGGCTGTCAGGAAGACAAGAGTTCATGGAAAGCAAGTTTGGACCTGAAGTATTCCTGTCGGCCCCTTTGAATCTATTCTGAATGTATATTGAATGGTGTAATTCTACCAGGGGATGAGAACCCCCACCCCCCACCTCCATCTGCTCTGGAGGGTTGAGGGCCCCTGGCTTTCTACTCTGGAGTGCTGTATTTTTAACAGTCCCTTGACATAGACAACAAAAGGCTATTTTGCAACAAACCAGTTAAAAACCATAAGTCTCTGGCTATTGTACTGCATCAGAAAATCATGGTCATTCTTCTAGATTTTACTGAGTTTGGAAACCTGCTGGATACATTCTGAGTAGAAAGCATCTATGCCATGGGTCCTCAAACTAAGCCTCGCGGGCTGAATCCGGCCCACCAGGCCCATTTAACTGGCTCGCCCCGGAGGTTTTGCATTTGCCATGGGTGAGCAAGCCGGCACCTCGTCCCCCCCAATCCCCACCTTGTGTGCTCATGCGCGTGCGTCCCCCCGCCCCGCCAGCACCGCCTTGGCGACCCGCGCCCACCGCTGGCACCTGTCAACTGGCCCCCTGTTCAAAAAGTTTGAGGACCCCTGATCTATGCCATGATCCAACAAGGAAAACCCAATAGTGGGGCCTTCTTACTAGTCACCCCATGGAAGAGGTTTGGGTGGTAAAAAGCTCTGAGCCTGACAGCAGTCCTCTTCTAGAATAGCTGAAGGTGTCCAGGACTTGCTTGCTTACTTTTTAAAATGTCGATCTTAGTTTTGCACTACAAATATGTATGTCCTGTCATGAGCTGGGACTGGGAAGGAGGGATAGGAGGAAAGAGTGGTTCCATTCTCAAGGACTCTTGAGAACACATGGTTCTGGATTCATGTGTAATGACAATCCATCGTACAGACAACCCCGGTATAAACAACCCACTTTTTGTGAGTTTCTTTGTGCACAGAGCCCAGATATGGGCTATTGCACTGGCATATTCAATCAATCAATCAATCAGTCAATGTAACATGTAACAACACCCTGTGATTCAATAAACCATGGTTAATTAAAACATAGTTTAATATATGTGAACCAGTATGTACAAGGCTATATCCAATCTGGGAAAGGGGACAGGACCAAAATATGATCAACAGGCAAACTACATATAGATAGACAGTAGCTTCACCTGTAGATGCTGTTACTATCCCACTTTTACATGGAGTGGAGGGGGCAATTTTAGGAAAGATGCATGCAGAACTGTGGCTTATGGAAGGGGGGTTACAAGCACACAGTAACTCACTTCTTTCTGTTTTGATTCCTTCCAATTATAGAAAAGGAAGAGGGCTATCACTGCCCGCAGGCAGCATCTCAAGGTAAGTCCTGCTTCTGGTAGTTTATGGTCAAGGGCCTGGTTCTTTCTGCTCCTCAGACAGCCTATGGGGTGGGGGGAATCCCTAAACTGCAGAGCATTCTTCTTCTGGATTGTTTTCTCACACCCAAACTGGAACTAGAATCGGCCTGAACATTTCACATCCTCACCCACTGATGTTGCTGTTCTTCTTTGGTAGAGCATCCCTAAAGTTCCAAGCCCTTTGCAGATGCTGTCATGTTTCAGGCACAGCTTTTCTGCAGCAGCAATTCCCACAGCAGTTTAAGCCCACTGTCCCAATCGCATAGGAGTGCGGGGTGCTGCTGAACCCTCCCCAAATACCCCAATTACTTCTCAGCAGCTCTGCTCCCTGGATGCTTTTTACCCAGCTGAGGTCATTTCTGATTGGAGCAGCAAAACTGCAGTGTGGAAGGCACGGCTTAACTGTACCCCTCAAATGCATAACTCTTTCTTTGGGAAAATCAGGCCCCTCCCCTTTCTACATGAACAGGCAGTGCCATTTTTAAACAAAAGGGGCATCTGCCAGGGACGGCAACTGATAATTAATGGAACATGATATGTACTGAGGCAAAGAGGCTAGGACTTTCCAAAGGCCACGCAGCAAGTCCATGGCACATCCTGGACCCAAGTCCTAACATTATAGGTCGACCACATTGGCTTGGCCTTGCACCTCTTTCTGTGCCTTGTGCATCGCTGATTGCTTCTCAGGGTACCACAGCATATCACCCCGTGTCACACCTGTGCCCCTCCTCCTCCGCCCATGACTCTCCATCAGCCTGGACCACTGCTTCTGCCTTCCTATTTATTTCCCCTCTCCTGATGTTGCCCTGCAGAGTGTTATGCTCCAGATTGCTGCTACTGAAATTGAAAAAGAAAAAGAAGCTAAGGAACAAGAAAAAGCCAACTACCTTTCTGAGCACTGCCCACCTCTGCATCTCCCAGGTTCCATGCAAGAATTACAGGTAATAATTTCACTTCCGCCCTTCACTAGGAATGGCACCATTTAATTCCAAGGCAGGTGCATTCTTTTATTTACTGGTTTGGCTCAGCACATGAGGGCTCTTTCCAGTCATTTGGGACACGAGGCTGCAAGTGACAAAAAGCCTTTCCACACTAGATCTTTGCAGCATGTACAGCTGAACACATGTTGGCCCAGGAAATGGTATTTTAAAACACACCTGTGCTTTACTTGTGCCTGGTAATATGTGCCAATGTGAAGGAGAAATAACTGCATATAACATTGCAAAGAGAACTCATGCTATTGCATGGAGAGGTCACTGGTGCCCAGATATTTTAATAAATATTTTCTCTTATACTGCTTTTAAAGTGGGAGCACCATTGTCATCTAAAGAAAACAGGGTGGTGTCAACCCTTCTCATGCTCAGAAATAGGGCTGCTGTTCAGGGCATGTCTATCCAGCATGCAGCTCTGTACAAGCCCTCTGTCCAAATCCCCCATGGAAGCATGAAACCCTCACTGATTGATTGATTTGCCGCAATTGCCTGCAGCACTTGTAGCCATGAGGCTCTCAGGTTGGCTCTCAGTACATGCGGTAACAACAAATAAAACAATTCCATATAAAACAATACAAAGATAGTTGATCAAATAGTACAATGCAACAATGAGTTGTTCGCTTAATAAAACCATTTAAACAACCAATTTAAAACAATCGTAATAAATAAAATTATCTGGCAACTAAAATTCTAACATGGCAGTAGCAGCAAAATATCAATATGGTAAACCATTATAAAAACAAGACAACTTTCCATAATATTTGCGAAAAAGAAATGTTTTCAATGGGTGTCTGAGTGAAAGGGAAGATGCCTGGTGAATCTCCAATGGAAGCAAGTGGGGAGTTATTGCAGAAAAGGCCCTTCTCCTGGCCATTTCCCCGCTTCCTTCACTCAGGGAAGGGATCCAGAGAAGGGCCTTGGGTGAGGATCTCAGTGATTCAGTGATCAGGCAGGACATATGGAGATTTATGTGCTGTATGCGTACCTTGCTTCTCCTCCCAGCGAGTCAGGATGACTTATTCAAGGTTCCCAGGTAGCTTTGCATCTCAGCACTGTTCAGGACCAGACTTCCTCCCTGTGGCTGGATCATGTCATGTTGTTCTGGACCATTTGCTGGGCATGCTAGCATGACACCTTGGGCCAAGCCCTCCTGTTGTTGCTCTAACCTGCCATGCAGTTTGGCTTGAATACCCGTGGCCAGTGCAAGGCGCAGGGACGCCACTCAAGCACATCCAGTTGCAGAAACAAGCCCCGAGTTCATGGGCTGCAGGACACGGGGGAGGACGCTTCAGGCCCAAGGGATCTCCTTTGTTATGAACTAGACTCCCCAGTTCCACCAGGCAGAGCCATGTGCAAAACGGTGGCTCAAGAAGGGGGTGAAGGATCGCACAACAAGGTCCCTCTGACAGACCATGTGGTTACCTAGCCCACAACCTTGTTGTCAATCCCAGACAACGAGGCTTGTATATATACTTACATACCAGAGCTTTTACACCAACCTGCACTTCCCCCCTGCACTTTCTTGATTTCAGCAGCTTAGCTTGGGAGGGAGAGGGGAGTTGGTCATTCATCTTTCTTAATGGGGAATCAGAAATGGAGATCTACTACACGGAGATTTCTACCAACCAGGGCTTTTTTTGTCATCGAACGCACTGGCGTTCCGGCACCTTTTTTTCCAATGGATTTTACGAAGTGATTTTGAATCCTAGCAGATCAGCAGCAAACATCATTAACATAGTGCCTGCAGGAGGCTGCTTTTGTGTCTGCTATCTGCTATCTGATAGTGAGGGCACTGCTCTCTCAGCTTGGGATGCTCCGCTGTGTGTGGGTGGTCACGCGCTTACTGCCAGCGACATGAGTTCCTGCACTTTTTTTTTTTTTTACAAAAAAACCGCTGCAACCAACCATCTAGTATTCCCCAGCACCCTGTAAGCCTGTTCACACATGTATGCTCATCGTTTTATGGTTGTCTCCCCACTGAGCTTATTACAACTTTCCACTTAATTCAACTGGTTTTTTTTTCACTTGAATTAGTTAACCCAGTTTCCTAAACATAAGCTGGACCTGAATACTAACTATGAAAATTCCTTAAACTTTGCACCAGGTACAGACAGTTTCAGATACAGGTTAATTCTAGCAAGACCTGGAAAGACTGGTGTGGAAATGTCAAATGGGTATTTTGAGCAATGCTATTTGATAATCTCTCCTTCTTTCTCAACAGGAACTGTGCAAAAAGCTTCATTCTAAAGTAGAACAGGTTGATGAAGAAAGATATGACACAGAGATTAAATTAGAGAAAACTACCAAAGAGGTAATTTTTCCTGAAGCATCAGCTCTGTGCTGTATCAAATGTGTTCAGTTGCTTGGATGCGATTGTCCTGTGACATTTGTTTCCAAAGGTTGGGCTGGTGGTCTAACTTATCTGTGGAATGCAAGGATGTTAGCCAGTGTGGTGTAGTGGTTAAGAGCATGGGACTGGGATTCAGAGGATCTGGATTCTAGTCCCCGCTCAGCCATAGAACCAACTGGGTGACTTTGGGCCAGTCACAGACTCTCAGCCCAACCTACCCCACAGGATTGTTGTTGTTGTGGGGATAAGATGGAGGAGGAGAATGATGCAAGCTGCTTTGAGCCCTTTGTAGGAAAAAGGCAGGATATAAATCGAAAAATAAATAAATAAAAATGTTAGGTACTAAAGACCAGCAGGCTAGTCTTATGTGCTGGGCTGGATTAAAGGTGCAATCCCAGGTATTTGGACAGCAAGTTGGCCTGCAACTCCCCAAATGCCCCAGCCAGCTTTATAGGCTGGAGCATGCTAGAAGCTATGACACTTTTTTCTGTAAAAAAACAGAATTGCATCCTAGGACAGACTAACTTTAGGTAAGGAAAATAGGCCAGGTAGGAAAATCCTGAACAAGGGCAAAATTCCATAAAAGGCTTGGGAGTTACATTTCTTGATGGTCAGTTTGTATATTCATCAGTCATATTTCATATGATTAAAATAAATCGTGAGTGTGGCCCTGCAAGATACATGGACTAGCTTTGTAGAACATGTTAAGACACAGTAGTTTATAAGTCACCGTGGTTTAGTGTGTTGTATGTACCCAACAGTCTTCCTCCAGAGTGGTTTATAGGCTATTAAACAAATAGCTGGGGCTTGTAGTGGGGTTTGATAACTCACTGTGGCTCATTGTGTTGTCTGAACTCAAAATAAGACAACAAAATAAGCCAAGGTCAAGTCAAAACCTTGGCAAGGGCAGCAGAAAGATGCGTCACTCTAGCCATGGGGCTAATGGGCCACTGCCTTTCCCAGGTACCCCAAAGGGTTCAAGCAGCACTTGGGCACACCTGGGAAAGGCTGTCCCCCTTCCCTACTTGCAGAGGACTTCAACATTTGGGTAAATCACACACCTTTAAGCCTTTCACCCCTCCCACTTTGGAGTTCCACTAGGGTAAACTGCAAACCTGAGGGGACAGTGGGAGCTTTCTAGTTTCCCCCATATCCTCTGGGAGCCTGCTTGGAAGAGGGAGGAGAATTGAGGGGATGTCCCCCCAAAAACCCCTTTTTACAGGTTCTTGGGATTTTTTGAGGAGCCTTGTGTCTCTGTTATCCACACCTGAAAGCTGCCAGGGGTATATAAGAGTCAGAGGATTCTGCTGAAAAAGGTGCTTTCCATACACACTTGTAAAAAGTTGCTAAAAATAGTTAGCAGCGAGCTATGAAGTTGCAGTTTGACTTGTACCCTTTGTCCATGTAGACAAACATCCTTCCCAAATTGCAGCTTTCAGGGTTGCCATGGGGAAAAGGATGTCGCAGATGTACCCACAGAGCGATTTCACATCGCACTCCTAGTGCTGTTTTTCTGTTACAAGCATTTAAGTCCTGACATTTCAATATATTTGCACTTTCTTGGACTGCCTTTTATTAACGATTAGTGGGTTGCGGGGGCATGCTTTTGCTTTTTAAAAACACCTCCCAAATGTGATTTCAGCCACTTGACTCGCCCTTGCGAGCGCATCTTATCACTCACTATCTCTCGACCTCTCTCTAGCTTGAAGATCTGAACCAGAAGCTGTTTGACCTGAGGGGCAAGTTCAAGAGGCCCCCTCTGCGTAGAGTCCGCATGTCTGCTGACGCTATGCTGCGTGCCCTTCTGGGCTCCAAGCACAAGGTCTGCATGGATCTTAGAGCTAACCTGAAGCAAGTCAAGAAGGAAGACACTGAGAAGGTATCTAGAGTGTTTAAGAGAAGCATCCTCTGTGGATCTGCTGCACAGCTTAGCAAGTGTGCTTAACGAAAGCCTCGCTTGTTTCAAAACCGTCAGCAAGTCCAAGATGGGGGCATATTGGGTGTGATCTGGTGTCATGCTTCCAGACTTTCCTCCCACTATGAAATCATCCGCTTCTCTTGTCCCCACTTGGAGCCATCCACATCCTCCTCATATCTACTCTGGGGGGGGGGGGCGGTCTCCCAGGCCTTTAGGGCACATTTGGCAGCTGTTTGGGACCCTGCGGGTGAGGGGGGAACCACCCCACTTGCTCTTCCACTGCTAGAAGCACGAGACGTTCATTGCACCCTTGTGATTCCTCGCCCATGTAGTGTGCCGGGCATTGTCATCTCCCAGGGTGTCTCCCATGCTTTCTGAGCATTTTTGCAGCTTTTTAAAGAACAAGGGCAGTGAGCTATTGAAGGACTAGCCATAAGTGTTACAAGATGGTTGTGTCTTTCAGTTCCAATTAACTGCAACACCACCTTGTTGTTGTGTAATGGGACATATAAAAAGACTGAGAAGGAAAAATCTTGAGGTGCATATTAACAACAGTGAACACAATAGCTCACCTTAATGCTGAAATTGTAAATGTCGTAACTAAAATAATGCTGAATTTCAAATGCATTGATTTGGCATTGATAGCAGTAGCTTAAATCCAGTGCTGGATGAGTGGACATCTGTTTGCATGTGAAGGCCTCCCTGTCTTGTCCTCCAGCTGCAGCCCACTGCCCTACTCTGGAGTGTCCCCTAATGTTCCAAAGCAGATTTGTGGGGCTGCAGGTGAGGGGAGGTTCTTGCCACCCGAGGCAAGGTTTCTCTTGCGCTGCCAGAAGGACAGCATGAGATTCAAGCTTCTGAGTTCGAAAAATGGCATCGTGCATCCATCAGAAACTGATAGGCACTGGAGAACTGGGTAGCTGCAAAAATGCTCAGGGCTTTCTTATCATGGTGCCCCAGATTCTGAAATGCCCTCAGCGTTGTAACTAGTTTTCACCTCTTCCTATAGTTGCACCAGCTTTCTGTGGAGCATGGCAGCCTTCTGCTGTTTGTTGGTCAGCCTTCAGCTTTCCAGTGGAGAACATCTGAGCTCCATGCATGACAAACTGGCACACCAACTGCTCAAATATGTAAACATTGCATTTTCTCTGTCCAGCAAAAGAAAAGCAAGTGGATGTCAACTGTTTAAGTCCTCCTGAGGACACAGAGCAAGCTTGAATGTTTCTCTTCTTCCTCCCACAGGAGAAGGATCTGCGTGATGTGGGTGACTGGAGAAAGAACATTGAGGAGAAATCTGGAATGGAGGGCAGGAAGAAGATGTTTGAAGGTGGCGGCGGCGAGTAAAACAAACCACCCAGCTGTTCAGTCTGATTCTCATCCCCATCCAAGTCCCAATGCTCCTTTTCCACCAGTCCCACCACCTACATTTCTACTAATCTGTTACAGCGCTGTTTTGGGGATGAATTTTGTCAAGCCACCTGCCATACAGAACCCACCTGCAGCATGATCCCACATCAATGCCAGGCAGACCATTGTCTTGAGCTGCGGAATGTCTTAAATGTATTTTGCAACAGTGGTAGTTACATGAGCTTAAATGATGCAGTCCTCATTTAATCCTGTCACTTGGTAGGATCTGTTGCTGCAAAGTGAAGTAAATGGATGTAAATAAAGCTTTGAAAGGACGGTTGGGCTTTTAAGCCTTGGGAGGCCAAAGTGTGAATGACTTGGTGTCACGAGGCCCTTTTGGTTCTGACATGGGAAGTGCACTTAGATCTTTCACAGATACAAACCATTTATCGCTTTTTTGGACAGAGATGTTTTTATGCTGTTTGGTAATGCATGCACGGAGGACTCTTGTCCAGTGCAATCACTTTATGCATGCCATGAAATTAACTGGCATTGAGAAAGGTCCCCAAAGCTGAACCGAGCCTGGTGAGAAGTTGTGCTCATCTTTCCTCTGAACTCAACTCATTTGCATTTCATTATGGCCCTTTGCTCAAACAGTTTTCCTCAATGTGATGTCTTCCAGATGTTTTGCACTTCAGCTCCCATCAGTCCCAGCCAGTAGAGTCAATGGTCAGGGATGTGGGTGTTGCAATCCAAAACTGCAGGGCACCCGGCTGGGAAAGGAGACAATTAGGAGCATTAGGAGACAATTGCAGGAGGTGCTGCTGGTAGGAGTACAAAAATGATGATGCCTATTCATGAATGGGTGAACAGGGCATACTCCCAATTAAATACACATTTTCTTTTCAGAGTGTCCATAAAAGCTTTGGTTCCCAGGCCTCTTAACACTAGTATTTCCCACTCCAGAGGAAGGTATGCTGCTGCTGTCGCTGCTCTTGGGGGCACAGCATGTCTGGTGCCAGACAAAAAGCATAGCTCATTTTTAAGATGTTAGCCATCAAAGGATTAAATGGGACCATCTGTCTTCTGCCAGTTCAACTTTCTCCTAGCAAGAACATGTTCTTTTAGCATTGCCAAGGAGTGGGCCTTCCGCAGGCCACAGTTCCTGTGCTCCACCACAGGACAGGGATTTGGCCTTTTGCCCAACAATCCGAACAGCTCCACATGATTTGTTCTCCGTGTGCCTGCCAGCAGGGCCGGCCCTACCGTGGGGCAACAGATGCTGAGTGAGGGCCTGGAAGTGGGACTGAGAGGCTGCAGGGCAGAATGGTCTGGGCCGAACAGCCTGCCCTGCATCCCTTAGGCTAGCCTCCTGCCGTGGAGGATGGTGTCCCTTTGCTGCCACTGAAGAGTCTACTGCCAGTCCGGTTGGCTTTTGTCTGTAGCAAGCAGCGGGGTGCCATCTTGGACTTTGCCTCCAGCAACCATATGCCTTCCAGCTAATGAGCCACAGCTTCCTCCCTGTGATCATCAGTGACCTCTTGAAGCATGGAAACCCTGTTTGAGTGGCCTTGAACCAGATACACTCTGGTGAGGATGCTTAGGAGGCAGATGCTGGCAAGCCTCTGACCTTGGAGCAATCTCTGCTCATCTTGCCTTTTCTCTAGAGGTCCATGTTTGGCTGCCCAGACATGGCACTGGGGAATGAGAGAGGCTAGGGCCATGGACTGATGAACTTCCAGGGGCCTCGCTCTCCCCACATGCCATGCTCCCTTTTCACCCCCTGGGGCCTTTCGCAACTGGGAGGGGGGCAGCTGGGCCTGTTCTTTCCATGCTGGCTGCAGGTCAGGAGCCCGGAGTCAGAACCCTGAAGAATCCTGTGGCCTCACGGGATCTCGGAGCAGAGAATCCGACCCCCTTGGACAATGTTGGGAGGCCACAGGGTTGCACCCCTAATCTACCATGCACTGCTTCTCATTGCCTGGAGTGGGCACCATACTGTATCTTGCCTTGGGCAGTTGGATGCCTTGGGGCAGCCCTGCCTGCCAAGCATGGAGCTGATGTGCACCAGCTAGAATTGACTGGAGGGGGTTAGGTGCATTTACTGTTGATCAAGCCTCACAGGGATTTACTTCTAATATCTGTAGCACTGCACAGGAAAAGTGCCAGTCCTAAGAACTGATTGGCACCTTCTTTGCACTGGCATTCAGATGGCGATCAGTTGAACTCTTCCCTGGGAAGTGGCAAACCACAGTGGGATATTGTTTGGCCTGTTCTATGCTTAACACCAATTTAAATTGTGATATCTAAGTGTGTTAAAGGGTCCAAGCAAAATCAGCACAAATGCTACTATCATGAGAGTACAAATAAATACGTTTTTATTTTCTTTATCTCCTGACTTTCTACCAAAAAGTGGCCAATAATAAAATCCAGCTTAAAACTGGCTTACTCTATAACCTAAAAGTGAGATTAAAAGCACACCAATGAAAGAAATAAACAGCACTAACCAATGCAAATCTCCTTCAGCCATTGTTCAGTCTAAATGACACAGCCCTGCCTAAATAAAAGCTTGCTTGCCTGCTGGTGGAAGGACAACAGAGAGGGGGCCAGCTGAGCTTTCTTCAAGGGGGACTTCCAGAGAAGATCCTCTCTTTCTGAAGAACCGGCATCCTGTTTCCTAGTAACCAGGAAAATACAGAAGTATGCCTTTTAAAGTTATGGTCACACAATCTAACCCCCCTGCCAGAAAACCTCACTCCTTATTAGAAGCTGCTATGCTTGTAAAAACATATCAATTTCTAGAAAATTGTTATCAGAAAAGGTACTGCCATTTTCAGAATATTCCTTTTCATCAGACTCCTAAGTTAATTCAAAGGACTACCAGGGAATAGATTGGAAGGGTATATTCCAATGTTTTGCTCAGCAACTCTTATTGTGGGTGCCAGGAGTGTCGGTTTGTCATCCCCACCTTGTGAGCAAGGTGCAGTGTAATTCAAAGTGATACATTACTCAGCTACAAGGGAGAAAGCCTTTTCAGTGATGGCATCCTGGTTGAAATACCTTCTCTGCTATCTGTGTATTTACAGTACCGATACCACATCTGTCCTCCAACATAGGAGTACAGAGTGGCTTACATATTTAATAATACCAGCAAAACAAAAGTTAGCACCCCAGTACAATAAAGCAGTTACAAATGTTGTAAACATCATTAAAGCACAGAAACAAGCAGAAATGTTTCCTGGCATCCACATTGCCCCTTTAGAAACTTGCTGGCATCCACATTGTCCCTTTAGTGTTAGGCTAAAAAGATTTGATTTACTCAAGCATTTAAATTTGCCTAAGTCACTGCTCTTTTTGTGCTTGATGTTGTCCAAATACTTCCGTACTTAGATGTGCAATGCTCTGGAACCCAAAATGGATGAAGGGCAGTCTAGAAAGGTTTCAAAGAAATAATGAGCGTCTGAACTCAAGGGAGTTGGTTCAAAGTGGAAAGGAACTGGTTAGGGAGAGACCACATAATGAAATTGTACGGACCAGCCCAAACAAGCCACACCACAGCGAGCAGGACTGCTGGATCCGAAGGATAAAGCAAAGAGAGGAGTGAGGGGCGCTGAGGAGAGGTGACAGGGAAGTATGGAAGAATCAGTGGAGGAAGAGAGCTAACAGAGGGGGAGAAACAGGCTCTACTTCCAGGAATGGGATACCTAGAAAAGGAGTGTAGAGGCCAACTGTCCAGAGCCAAAGAGATGGAAGGGAAGAGCAGGCAGACAGAATCATTACAGGGGAGAACTGGCTGCAAGAAAGGTGATGCAATTGTTATATGTACAGGTCAACGTGGCCCAGTGTCTGAAGAGAGGGTGCAACAGCAAGCTGCAACTTTGCTGGGAGGGAACAACTGGGTTTATGAGCATCGAGTGCTTCCATAGGCTTGTAAAGACAACACAATCAAACCCAATGAACAGCAATGCATAGGCCTGATCTTTATTACCAGGTCATAGAGGAATACTGGGGTCTTTTAAGGTCAAACAGCCCCTCACAAGCCCCACAGGGATACACGTGTTATTTATAAGTGTGTGATATGTACTAGATGCTGCACAAAAGTAGAAAATGCAAGGCCCTGCCTATGGGCTCCAAGTCTTAAAAAGAAAAAAGAGAAGAAATAAAACAGGACATGTAAGAAGAAGGGAGCTGAAAGGCAAAATAATGCTTATGGTCTGTGGAGTCCAGAAGCATCAACAGTTTTAGATGATGCTGGTTTTCTTGCCATGGACCAGAACCCCAAACCCTCGTCCTCAGAAGAGGTGCCTGAGTTAACTGTTCAAGGAGAGGACTCAAGCACAAAAAGGTGCTATGAGGTTTCCACCTCCTCAATACCCAGTTCCCGAGGTTGTTCCCAGGGACCTGCCCCTCTGTGTCCAGAGGACGTCTCATTGCCTTCCTCAGATTCTGAGGACTTCCTCCATGGAGCCACTGAAGTGCCACGGCCCCCCTTGTTCCTGCAGGCTGAGGCTTCTAAAACAAGCCAGGCCACGTGAAGGCCTTAGCAGTCTGGTTCACATAACACAGCAACCAACCAGTGATAAGAGCGGGTGGTTGAACCATGTGAACCCAGCCCTGGTTACCCAGGATGAATAGGGGTCTTTTCCAGACAACCCGTAATGATAAACTTATGGGCTGTTCTTGAGTTTGTTTTATCAAGGTTTTGGTTGGTTGATGTTCAATGACTTCCCTCACTACTCCTCCCAAGCAAGCCCTGGCCACTGCTGGAGCCAGCTGCCCCATGAATGCTCAAGCTGAACAGCTGGAACTGGCTTCCCTGCCCCCTGCCATGATGTGGAACTGTTTTCAGCTCCTTGCAGCTTTTCTCCTTCCCAAGTTATTTTTGCCCCTGGACAACAGGATAAGCTGCTGGATTGCCAGGGTTCCCGGTCCCTGTTCCAACAGCCATGAGCTGCCCCTTCAAAGTGTACCAGCATCATCTTGGAGGGGATCCTGGTAGTGACCCAGTATATATTTCATTTCATTTTATTATGTTTTCATTTTATTTCATTAGTTTCATTTATTTCATTTTATTATGATTCTATTCTATTTTATGATTTTATCTTATATGCACAAATATGAAGGATTTTTTTAAAGTCCCATTGGTAAAAATGGCACTTGCTCACCTGAGCACAAATGGGTGGACCTGAAGTCTGGACTGTTGCAACGTCCATGCAGGGTGCAGGGTCCCTGCTGCCACTTTTTGGCATGGCCCCAGCCCATTCTTCCCCTCTGGACTCGTGTTTCCCATCAAAAGATGGAGGGGCCTTGTGTTTAGATTTTCCCACACAGCTGGTGGGCCAGGGAAAAGTGCAAAGGGGCCCCTCAGG